TCAGTCCTTTTTTCTGCTCTGTTGTCAACATGTACAGTGATGGGAAATCCAGACTCTTGACCGTTTAGCGTTAGCTGTTAGCTTCACCATCCGATCACATGGTCACCTGGTTTCTGCCACTCCAGCTGTTCTATAGAACCTCCTTGGGCTCAAGTAAACCACCTCTGATGCAGCGTGGGTTTATTTTATGGATCTTGTTAACTGTAGTCATATTAATTTAATGTTTGGCTTGTTTTAACTTTAGTTTTGTTGACACATCTTCTGCAGACTTCATGATGATCAGATCTGAAACCAGCTGCTCTAATGTTTCGTTTTGTTCCTGTTGTTCAGAGGAACTGTGGCAGGAGCCCTTTAAGTCATGCACAGGCGTCCAGGCACTACACAACAGGACAGAGCAGGTATGATGTCAGAGCAGGTATCACACCTGACACGCTCCACGTACCCAGAGTAACTCCAGGTTCTGTCCTGCTCTCCTCCATCACAGCGGGGCTTCCAAAGTGCTGGCTGCTGGCTTGTTGACGGTGGGCGCTGGCCTTGGAGGCACCATCCTTTACGCCAAATTGGACCAGAAGTTCAGAGCTGCGGTGGAGAAGAATGTTCCTTATTCAGATCAGCTGTTCAGCCTGGTTCTGGGACCTGCTCCTCAAGATGCTCATCCTCTTTTCAAGAAACAGGTCAGAACACCAGGCGGGAATAAAATATGGTTATTTTTACACGTATACTAGTGAGCCTTAAAGCTCAGCTTTGATATGGATGTGAACCTTTAACCTTTCTCTTGGACGGTACCAGCACACGTTCTGCTAAATAAACTCAGGTGGATTAGACCAGGGCTTCTTAACCTTTATGACCTCAGGGCCCAATTTATTGAACATAAAGTGACACGAGGTCCAGTCAGATATTACCAATGTATGGATCAAAATGATAATTATTATAAATCTTGGTTTCATTTTTATTGTATTTACATTATAAATTAATTAAATACACTTACAAGTAAGTGTATTTTAAGTACACTTAAAAGTAAAACTCCTGTCAATCACAAGATGTGATTATGACAAACATTTTTTTATATTATAACCTCCCCATAGTTATTTGAACAGTCAGTAAACAATAACAAAAATATACAATTCAAAAATTAAAATTGTGGGCATAAAA